TGTTTCCTTGTTGTTTTTTTTTTCTTTTTTTTTTTTTGTTTATATACACCTAAACAACGCATGTATGCGGTTACACATGTACTAGCTCCGCCTCTCTGTACGCTGAAGCCATCCTTCATTTGGGCTTCTGTGCATCTTCTCTCTCAGTTTGCTTCTACATACTTGCATGTTTCGTGCATATGTAGTTGAATGCATGCATTTCTACTTGTAATATTATGCATGCATTTATATTTACAATAATATGCATTTATCTGTTGCACATATGGATGCGTGTATATTCAGTGCAGGATATGCAGAATATATGTATGAAATATGTTTATATATGAATTTGTTTGTTTGTTTTGTTTTGTTTTGTTTTGTTTTGTTTTGTTTTGTTTTGTTTCAGCTGGATGAAGTAATAGGCCTTGGATCCTTTGCTTGCCGGGTGTATAGAGCAACAGATATACTTTCTGGTGTTCGTCGAGTAGTGAAACGTGTTAGCAGAGATCAGCCTGAAGGTGTTCGTCTTTTTCGTAACGAGGTCACCTTTCTAAGAAAGGCTCATCACCCCAACATCGTCAGACTCTTTGAAGTATTCGAAGATCCTGATGCTGTATACCATGTGCGTACCTGCTGCAGCTCCTCTTTATATCTTTTTTTTTTTTTGCTGCTCGTATCTTTCCTCTTCCGCTTGGTTGCTCTTTGTGTGTTCTTTCTTCTTCTTTGTTCCCGTTTGTATCTTTTTTCCCTTTTTCCACATTGGTTATCTCTCCTTTACTTATCTCGCAGTTCGTCTGTTTTGTTTTTCTTGCGTTCGTCTGGTGTATGTTCTGTTGCGTTTGCTGTTGTGTCTTTTCACTCTACTGTTTTCTGTTTTGTTTGCATATATCTTTCTCTTTGTGGCGTATCACTCTTTCTCCTGCTGCATCTACTTTTACTTGCATGCCTCCACCTTTCGTATCACATTGTTTCTCTCTTTTTCTTTTCTATTGGCGCTAGCCACTGCTGCGTCTGCTGCTGTTTGTGTCTGTTCATACCCGTTGCTGTCTTCCTGTCGTCGTTTCTTCATTTTCTGTTTTGTAATATTATTTATTGTATGTTTCTCTCTGTGTTCACTTATGTCTGTGCATCTATGCATTGCTATTCTGTGTACTTGTGTTTTTGGCTTTGCTGGTTGGGTTTTTTTCTTTGCTTTTGTGTGTCTGTCTCTTTCTATCATTCCTTCCATCCTCTATCTCCGTCTGTTCGTCGCTATTTGCTGCTTCTTTTTCGAGCAGCTTGCATTTTGCTGACAAGCAGTGTCGAGTTGGGGTGTACGTACAGGTGACGGAGACGTGCTACGGCGGCGATCTGCACCAGTGGTTAGACAGACGCCTGAGAAGGAGACAGAGACACTCGCGAAGGCGCACAGTTAGCTTCTGTTCCATTCACGATAGCAATCCGACGCCGCTGCAGCAACAGCAGCAACAGCAGCAGCAACAGCAACAGCAAAATGGCGCCATCCCTGCTGAGTCTGGCATGGCCCAGCCGTCTTCGGCTCCAACAGTGGCAACAGCAACAGCTGCAACAACACCAAATTCAATGGAAGGAGACATAAGCCGACCTCTGTCTCCTGTTGCTGTTCCCGTTAGCGGCAGAGCAGGCAGCAGCATGCGAGGCGCATGCCCGGTTGCAGCTGGTGCAGCAGCTGCCGCAGCAACAGCAGCAGCAGCAGCAGCTGGACTGGCGGCATCGTCTTCTACCCCTTCTTCATCCGCAGCAGCAGCAGCAGGAGCATCAGGAGCAGCAGCAACAGCAGCGGCAGCAGCAGCAGCAGCGGCAGCATCAAGCGTTCGGCCGTTGGTGAGCGAAGAGATGGCCGCACAGATAGCAGGGCAGATGTTGTGTGCACTGCGTTATTTACACAGCAGAGAGATCGCACATTGCGATATAAAACTCGAAAATATGTTGCTAGCAGCAGAACTAGACGACTCCGAAGCAACGGGAGACGGAGCGAGCAGCGAGGAGGAAGAGGCGGCGCTGATGGAGCAGCAGGAGCTGCAGCTGCAGCAGCAGCAGCTGCTGCAACAGGAACAGGAAAGAATCAACTGCGCAAGCAGCAGATCCCGCCCCGGCCTTCGACGGAACTTTGGTCACAGCAGCAGCAGCAACAGCATCACCAGCAACAGCATCACCAGCAGCAGCAGCAGCAACAGCTTAAATGCTCTTTCGGTGGTGCCGATGGTGATGAGGAAGCGGCGGGGCCTGGGGAACAGAGATAAAGATAGAGATAGAGAGACAGAAAGAAGCAGCAGAAACTTCTCGCTACCTTATGCTAGAGACAGCCCCAGCGACTCCACGCATTCTCTCGTCGGCAAATTTCGAAGAAAAAATTTAATTGTAAAGCTCGCAGATTTTGGACTTGCAAAGAAAATAGTACGGGGGAGACAAAGGCAGAAGGTTCGTCTTCATTCATGTTGACATTCCTTCTCTTGTGTTCGTTTCAGCTTCCTACCTTCGTCTCTGGGTGTATGCGACAGCCAGCTGGCGAGGGAAAGAGAAAGACAGAGGCAGAGACAGATAGTCTTTTGGTGTCTGTCTCTCTCCGCCTCTCGTTATCTGTCTGTATCTCTCTCGCTGTATCTGTGCCTGCCTCTCGTTCTCTGTACACCTCTGTGACTATGCGCAGCTCGTGCCTTTGCTGTTCTCTTTCGGTTTTTCTGCTGCATGCTGCACTTCTCCCCTTGCCTGCCTTTGGGGTTTCTGCTAATGATATTATGTTTACCACTTATATATACTGTTATCTATATCAAGTCGCTTTCTGTTGCGTTTCTCCCCTCTTTGAAATTTCTCTTCGAGTGACCCGCAAATTCCTCTTTAGTCATTTTCCGTTGTGTTTCGCGTTTGAAATCCCTCTTTGAGTCATTTTCTGTTGTTTCTTGTGTTCGGGATTCGTCTTCGTTGTATTTCTCCTTTGGCGTTCTTCTCGCAGACATGAGCTGTTCTGTTTCTCGTTTGAAAGTCGTGATTCATACATTGTTTTATTTCTTGTTTAAAATCCCTATTTTTTGCGTCATTTGTTGTTTTGTTTCTCAGGTGTTCGCCAATCTGTCTGTTGAGGGCACGCTGTACTACCGCTCTCCCTGGCAGATTCTGCACGGGGTGGAGGGGGACGAGCGCAGCGATTTGTGGGCGTTGGGTGTCGCTCTTTTTATTCTTTTTTCGGGGCATCCGCCTTTCAACGGAGACGATAAAACCTCCATTGATCAGGCTGTGCGTGAGAAAGTTGGGGGCTCTCTAGCAGTAGCAAACGATCAGTCACACTGACACCAAACGCTAGGCTCTAAACCCCAGAAACTAGCAACACACGCACGCACGGATGCGAACCGAGACGAATAAGACTCACAGACAGATGAATGCATACAATACACCCAAGAAACACCGACGGACACACACAGATAAAACTCAATCAGACGAGTAGAGGGGAGGGGGCTTACGCACCAATCAATTTAGCTTGCAGGGTGCAGCGAGGGGAGCCGCTTTGTCGTGCATCCATACATATCATACTATCCTAAGGATAACCATAAACTTCAAACACTATATATACATGATAAATCCATAATAAATCGACGAAAAATATTTAATATATATGCAGTAAATATAGAGTAAATAAATATACAATAAACATATAATCTTTACAAAGTTTTCAAAGAGTG